CGGGTCCATCTTTGAGCTCACTATTCCGCTGGAAGCTCGGATGACATCCTGGGGCCGCGGCCCCCAAGCAACCATATGCTATCCCGAGCCAATGGATACACGGATACCTGCGTATGCATTGGAAGTTACCTTTTGGGCACCAGCCATCGAAACCAAGATTGCCGCTGGGCACGATTGGATGACGGTCCCCGGCGTGATGGCTATTCTCTCGACCAAAACCCGAAAGTGTATCTGGGTTAATGGAACTGAGCTGCGTCGTGGGCCCGAGAACGACAATGGCGGAGAAGGCTTTCATTTCGGTAAACTGTATACCGGCGATGTCATTACCGTCTATCAGCATCGGAACAAGTTTTTGAAGTTCGCGTGCGAATTTTACCATGGAGATAGTGCTCGCTCACGTCCCGATGAGGAGAAAGGCTTCACCGTGCGCAAAGTCTTGATGCCCAAGGAGAAGGCTGCCAACCGACAACCTGTACGGAAAATACCGCATGGGAAGAAGTAGGTGTCGACATGGTGGTACTTGGTTCGCTGACTGAGTTGGAAATGGCTATGAGGTATGGTGTAATGTCCCTGGTGTGGTATGGAGTTGTATGTATCTCTTATGTATGGGTTGCATCTTCGTTTGGTCTTGGGGGAACAAATGGGGTGGCTCAGTATTGATTTTGGCGTTTGTGCATATACATAATGATCTGGATAAGATAGGGTCTGGAGGGGGACAAAAAAGGAAAAAAGGCTACTCTCGTCAACGCATGTACGATCAACAATTGCATGGAATTTATCAATGGATACCACTATCTATTACCCGCTCACCTAGGCTACGTCTGAGACGTACCACTACAGAAGACATGAAATAATGTAGTGCCATAGTCCTACACAGTGCCGATAATACATTTGTATATTATTATCTCCTTGCTCAGGGACAAGTAGTAAGTACAAAGCTGCTGCTACTTTACTAGAATTAGATAGCACCCGCGCGCTCTAATAGTCACGAAGAGCAATTGTATTTGAGACAGGACTTTGCTATATACATTCATACTCTGTCAGGCTAAATATTCTTTTTTTAGTCAGTCTATACATTATCCCTAGGAGGCACAATGGCGAAATACAATCGGCCCTTCCATCTTATCCTTCTGTCCTCAGACGTAGACCACTGCGTATTATATTCTTTGGACAACCACCAGGAATAGCATTTCCAGGGGGGTCGCATGAGTTATGTATGCCTTCGAAGTAACAGACACCTGATATATGATATAGAGACAAGTTAATCTGAGTCTCTCAGGGATGGTAGAGTAAAGAGCAACAGACGTGAAAAGAAACACCATCTCCTTGGCAATAACAGTAGTTGCCGATATTGTGTTGAGGATCTGCGCTACAGCGATCTTAGGATGCACTTCGAACTGAACAAACAAAATTTCTGGACTGAAGACAGAAAGAGCACCTACTGGTTATAGCAAGGTCCAACACCGCTAGCTCCGGCAGCTCCCATGAACAGAAGGGCAACGATGGTGTTCGTCCAGAGTCTCATTTTGCATTTGATTTTCGTAGATTCATATGTAAGGGAGCACGTTGAATGACGGTAACTTGAGAGAGAGAAGAAGTATTGATCAGATGCACTGAATCACCAGTTCTTATTATTGTTGAACCCTAGCCTGGATGTAGCTAGAGCGCATCAATCAGAGTATTCGGTATTATACACCATATATTTCTCTCAATATAACTTTGCCAAAGCCAAGTGGTTTTACTCCGTATGGTACAAATACTACCAGTAAATTACTGTAAGCGTTGTGCTAGTTAGTTAGTGCAAGAGTAAAGTGCAAGGGTATCTAAGCGGATAAGTTAAATAAAGCAACACCACCACCTCTCCTTTCATTATACGTCGTCTTGGTCATTACTCATTATTTCGCCAGCCTGTCCAACTTGAATCCTATTTCAGTCCAATTTCTACAGTTCACTAAACGGCCAAACCATGTCAGATATAGATGCAAAGACTTCTCTGTCTGCTACTAGCCAAACTCCCCCTATTGCCCCCAACGCAATATCGGATGCAGATGAGCATCATGCCATCGACCCGTCGAATCTGGCCACCTACGAGAAGAGCCTCTACGACTTCCTGTGCTCCCAAGGATGGACTAGTACACAGTGTTTATGCTTCATCGCTCAGATCAAACCGATGAAAGAAGCCATCTCACGCCTTTTCTACTCGCAAGGTTGTAACACCGCCCAAGTGCAGTGTCTCCACGAGCAGTGTGAGATGGAATTCCCAGAGCATTTCCCAGCTCCTAAAGATGATGCCGAGCAACAGGATCTGCAGATGCAGCTGAGACTCAATGAGGAGATGAATCGTCGAAGGGCAATTGGTGAGCGCATGTACCCTTCAGTAGGCACTATGGATAGGCAGGTTGATGAGGAGAGAAGTGCTTAAGTGGGATTTGCTTAGATATTTGTGATATGTATGTACTTTGGTCTTTGTATCTCAACTCTGTCAAGTGTTCTAAGAAGAGAAGGCCCGGCAGGAACGTATGTGGGCTGAGAACAACTTTTCAATATATACATCTAAGATGGCTAGCAGAAGATTTGTAGTGAAGCTGCAAGAATAGTCTGAGTTCAATGAGTTGGCGAGTTGTGCCTGAACTTCTTCTTAGTAGCACCGATCGTGGTCTCTTCTTGCCTATACAATTGGTATAGGTTAGCTATATGGTCAACTAAGTACACACGCTGTCATAGTGGCTATTGGTGTAAAGCCATGCGGCGATAAAAGGATCATCTATACTCAAATTATTTGGCATATCATTTATTTCCCAAACTGTTTTAAAGTTTTATTCTTACTTATTGGTCAGTGAATACTTCTTGGGGATATTTGAGAAGCTCTTGCATTCAGTATCGGGTTGCCTCATCTTTAGTTCTTTACGGCGTTGCACATTGTGTAACCAACTAGTCTAAGAAAGTGAAGAAAAGTGGAATCGATATATATATTCGGGTTTCCCTCGACAATCTTCTGAAGACACCATGGATCTGTCGACTCTGGATTATAGAGAAATCTCACCGGAAAGAGAAGATAGTGGTTTTGCTTAATCTGAATGCGGAGAGTAGTGTACCTTTAGATCTTCTTTGCAGAACAAGAAGCCACTAGATGAAATTACTTCGCAACGAAGAATGCAAAACTGTTGAGACCCCGAAGACAAAAGGTCATTTGTTACATAACAACCTGAGCCTGAATATAACAACTATTTGTTAATTTAATCATTATTTGCAAAGTACAGTTGATATATCAGAAGACGAAAATCAAGCTTCTGCGTAGAGTGCATCCATTTATAGTAAGACCCAGCGCGGTGGACAATATGCTGCAGCACGGTATAGCTGAAGGTTAGGAAACGTGACTGAGGGCCTCGTTGCTTGTGGATGAGTGAAGCCCTCTTTCTCTATGTGAAGATACAAGGGTTTGCGTCAGTGGCGACAGATTGACAGCCACAAACAGCAAGCCATTAAAATTCTCCAAAATAAATCTGTTTATAGACTGTAGCTCGTATAAATCCTAGGAACTACATACGAACATACTAGCAGCGATCCTCAGGGTCTGGAATCAACTGGGTCCGTCAAGCCTGTACCTCTCGGCAACGATACGAAGGGCAGTTCCCTGGTTCGCAAGGTGGTATCTATTCACATTGAATAAGCGACGCCGGAAGCAGCCAGGTCCAACAGGTTTAAGAACCACATTATTTGGATATTGTCAAAGCTCACGAATCATCAAATCGGGAGGTTTCCCAATGCGTCGAAAAGCCACGATGGAAGCCAAAGCAACACCAGCACCACATGTGACCCTGACCGCTAAAGTTGAAAGACCGAGTGGGTCCTACTCTCTTTCCATGTGGATCTTGGAGATTAGTTTCTTCCTGCTAGTCTTGTCTCTCGGATTTCTAGCAGTTCTTCCATCTTCTCCGAACTGGAACATAGCTTGAATGTGTTCCACCGCTAAGGTGCTTCATTGTCGCATTAGGGGGTCTGACGGATGTGAGACAACCGTCTCTCGAGCCAGAGTGGCCAACTCACTACTTGCTCGCAAGTAATATTCGAAATGAGCAGATCCTCTCAACAAATTGCCAGGCTCCAACCGTTCGTTTCGGCGTCTGCGCGAGAAGCTCAAGCGAGGGGGCGGGGCTGTTGCTAGGATTTAATTAAATTAATCTGCTTTTTGCAGTTTAATCTCCTTCCTCCCCACCACCAACGAATGATGCTCTCTCGGAGCACCTCATTCTCACACACAGACGCTGTGACAATGTCCGACGCATTGGGTGGTCATCCTGATAGCCATGGCTCGGGTTCTATCCATGGTCCTCGCGCGGAATGTCTTACTCGACGATAAGGGGAGTAGGGAGAGGAGGGAGTTGCGCCCTCATCGCTGCCTCATGGGTGTTGTTGACCCTTGGATCCCTCCCATTCCTTCCATTCTTCAACCACTTCTCCGGGGCACCCCCTAGCGCGCCCTTGGAACTGTACCGTTAACCTGACAAGTGGCCCTCAAAGAAGAAAAAGTCCCCAAACGAAAGCGGACAGACCCGTTCGCGGATGGGTTCCTCTGTTCCTGGATTATTGTTTCGGCCTTTTTGGCGACTTGGTGATCCAGTTTTTATCAACGACCATGTCATACTATTCCTCTTCCGTCGTTTCGAGCTGGTGACTCCTGAACCGAAGAGTAATTTTACTTTAATTTCTAGCTCTCTTTGATTTTTCTGGTTCGATAGCGATCTGTTACTTCACTAACGTATCTCCTACACCTCCGCTCTAAAACCTCATCCTTTTCCTTTCTGCTGCGCTCTTGTTTTCCCCCCAAGTTGCGGGCGCCTGTTTCAAAGAAAGACATATCCCATTGACCTCCTCCACCGCGGCCCTCTGCCGAGCACGAACTCCCCAATCACGCCCGCCTGTGGCTGCTCCGCGGGCCGTTGTGCTCGCCCGCCATTGCCCTTCCTGCCGGCATCCCTGTCGGTCCCGACTCCCCGCTCATGTCGTTGTCACGATCGCCCTCTCCCCACCCCGCGGGAGCAGGATGGTCTAGTCCTGGACTCACCTCGCCCAGTGGTTCGACGACGCCTCACAATGGTTTTCTGTCGCCAAATCCTATAGGTGCCAGCGGCATCTCCTGGGCCGCCGCCAAAGCGAAGAGCGACGAGGTACGAGGCTACCCGTCCTTTTCGACGAAGAACAGCGGATTCTTCTCGCGTTCAAGACGCCAGCTCTCCGCCACTTTGCCGCGCTTTCGTTTAGGCTCAGGGTCTCCGAATGGCTATGTCGATAAGGATGAGTTTGGCCGGGGGCGGCCTCTCTCCCCAGCTACGGGCTGGCGCCTGGGATTTGGCAGGTCGGTTCTGCGGCGCAGACGATCGCGCTTGCTCGTGGCGCTGATCTTTCTTTTGCTGGGCTATATGTTTTTCGGAGCGTGTAAGTGAATCGCATACGTGTGGAACGAAGTCTGTAGGTGGCTAATCAATTGCAGCTCTTCTTCAAAAGTATCGGCGCTCTCCACTAGGCGGTGGGCGCAAGTTCGTGATCATACTAGAATCTAACATAGAGGGCGGCGTGATGGAGTGGAAGGGAGCGCGCGAATGGGCGATCGAGCGCAACAGCGTGTGGAACAAGAAGAATTATGTTGAGCGATGGGGCTACGAATTGGAAACCGTCAACATGTTGGCGAAGAAGCGGTATTCGCACGAATGGCGCGAGAGTTGGGAGAAGGTGGACCTTATCCGGGAGACGATGCGAAAGCATCCTGATGCTGAATGGTATGCTTGTCGTATTCAATTTCATGAGCGTCACTGACATGTGCAGGTTTTGGTGGTTGGACCTCAGCACTTGGATCATGGAATACTCTTACTCGTTACAGGACCATATATTCGACCGCTTGGATGAAATCATCTACCGGGACATCAATGTCTACAACCCGTTGAATATCAGCCATCCGCCGGACGACGCTTACCTGGACGAGGTGTCTCGATCGCCAAACGGAGACGGGGATCCGTCATCGGTACATATGCTACTGTCGCAGGACTGTGGGGGCTTCAACCTCGGCTCTTTCTTCATTCGGCGCTCCCTCTGGGCCGACCGCCTGCTGGACTCGTGGTGGGACCCAGTCATGTATGAACAGAAACATATGGAGTGGGAGCACAAGGAGCAGGATGCGATGGAGTACCTCTACGCAACGCAGCCGTGGGTACGCAGCCACGTTGGCTTCCTCCCCCAGCGATATATCAACTCGTACCCCCAGGGGGCATGTGGAGATGAGAACGACCCGAATGTCCACTACCAGGAAGATGAAAGAGACTTTCTGGTCAACATGGCCGGGTGCCAGTATGGACGCGACTGCTGGGCCGAGATGTACCAGTACCGTGAGATCAGCAAGCAGCTGAACCTGACATGGTGGGAGCGGATGAAGGACAAGTTGAACGGCCTTTACGAGAAGCTTTTCCCTGGCGAGGAGCAGCAAGTTGAATAGTCCGTTGCTGGATACGACATTTGCTTTGATGTTTATTGCAGATGATGACTGGTCTGAGAAATGACCATGTAAAATGCGGACTAATAATGACCTGTGACGGCGTATGGACGGGTGTGATGTTTGCTGATTTGTTGTACTTGGCGAGGCGTTTGGTGTTAACGATAGTTATCTAGACTTAGTAGCTCATCTATGACCTTTTACTGTACTCTCACCGATTCCTAACCACTAACAAACAAGTATACAACGGTAATTGCAGTGCACAGTGCACAACCCACTCACAACCCGCTTACTAAGCATACACCATACACGTGACCACCGCAGCACATCCGACCGCCCACACCCCCCAGCCAATCAAACCACCGCAATTGGAACTCTCGCGACCTCCGGAATCGAACTTGATACAACTTGACCTCCGAATATCACCGTGACCTCTTTCCCTCCCTCCCTCCGATCGACTATCCGAATCAAAACCGACAAAAAAAAAAGAAAGAGATTTGCAAAATGCCCACCCCGGAATCCGCCTCCTTCCTGGCCAAAAAGCCCACGGTGCCGCCTACCTACGAGGGCGTCGACTTCGAAGACAACGTCGCTGTCCACAACGCCCGCGACGCCATTATCCGTGAACAATGGGTCCGCAGTATGATGTCTCGTCTGGTCGGAGAGGAATTGGGCAAATGTTATGCTCGTGAGGGTGTGAATCATTTGGAGAAGTGTGGGGTTTTGAGGGGTGAGTTTATACCTTTTATTCCTTCCTTTTATTCCTTGCTTTTGTGAAGGATGGGGATATGCTAATGTGGGTTTGTTTTCCGGGGATATAGAAAAGTACTTTGAGTTGCTGGGCGAGCGCAAGATTAAGGGTTACTTGTTCCAGGAGAAGAATTACTTTGCTGGGGAGGGAAATAAGTCTGCTTAGATTTGAAGTTGGGGGATGGGATGGGTTGAATCGGTTTCTGTGTTATGTTATGTGATATACAATATATGCATTGTGTTTTATTTTCATACTCTTTTCTCTGGGTTTGGGTTGTGGGGAGTTGTGATTGTATAATATGTTTTGAGATGGGTGGATATGGACTCTAGCTCTGGGTTTATACGGGTTGCTAGGTGTGAGTGGATTGCTGTGTCTGATTGGTACTGCGTATGCGGAGTAGAACCTATGTGTGCATAGGCAGACCATATGGTATGGTATTTGTATACAAGCTCAAAATCAATAATAGGCACTGTCACTCCGCTCCGGCACTGTTCCCGGCGTATACACACGCGCTACACTGGCTGCCTCTTCATCACTATCCTCGACATCACTCCCCGGTCCAAAGTCGTCCTCCGCCGGCGGCGCACGCATGCGCACCAGCTGCTCCTCATCCAGCGAGGGGATCTTGTACGGCGCTGGCGCGGAATGAATATCTCGACCGGAGGGCAAGTTTGCTAGCAGGTCCGCAGAAGGTGGAATCAGCTGGGTATTAATCTGTGCTCGGCAGTTAGCAACATCATTCCAAACCAATGACGGGGATATCACCAACCGTATCATTCATTCGCACCCACTTCGTCTCCAGCATCTCAATCACTCGACTCTCCTCCTCCCGACCTGCATTATCCCCCGGTCCGAGCTCGCCCTTCTCCGTCCGATCCCGACTGCCCGCATCCTTCTCCATCCGTCTCTCCTCCCGCCGCTCCATCCAACCCTGCTTCAGCCTCGACAGCCCGGTCCGGCTCTTCGTACTCGTCTCCTTCGCTTCCGCTCCACCTGTCCCAGCTCCCCTGACCCCCAATGCCCCCTTCGCTGCTCTCAACCATGCAATGCCCTCCCCTATTTTCCCGGACAACTCCGCATCCACACCGAAGAACCGACAGGCTCTCGCCCGCGCAACCCGTCCCAGCACCCGTGTATACCCTAGCAGATCATCATCAATTCCCATCCGCCCCTCTGACCGGACAGATCCCAGCCCCGCAGCAGCTTGCTCCGCGTACTCCGCAGCCCGGATACATAATCTAGCGAAGAGGTGCGCGCGGACCTTGGGGATCTCCGGCGCGCGGACCATCCAGTCCTTGTCATTGGGATTGCGCGCCTGAATACAGGCCGCGACGTAGGAATCGTCCTTCAACACAGCGAGGAGGGTTGCTTCCGCGAGGGCGAGACAGGAGAGGGCCGCTTGCGTGGCGGGGTCGAGGTCCGGAAGGGTAGAGGTTCCATTTCTGTTGTTGTTGCAGATGGAGTGGGCTGCGGTTGCGAAGGAGGGCGAGGAAGCGAGGAGTGAGTGTACGGCGCTGGCTTGGAGGAGGTGTTTGGTGGCTGTTTGGATGGCGGCGGTGCGCTGTTCCGGTGTCGGGGTCGTGGATGCGTAGAGGGTGCGGGTGACGCCGATACGGGCGAGGGAGTTTAGCACGTAGCTGAGAGTGGAGAGGACAAAGGCTATCTCAAGGTCGAGACCCTGTCCTTGGATGCGGGTGGTGGTGGGCCGCTGCTTGAGGGAGAGCGTGGTGGTGGGGTTGGTGAGGGTCGGGCGCCAGGAGGATGTGATCTCGGTGCGGAGGGTGATTTCAATGTCTTCGGTGGGAGATGTGTCGCCAGGTTTGCTGCTGAGACCGCTGGAGAGAGCGAGGAGGTAAGGGAGGTAGCTGGTTATGGTGGTGAGGAGAGTCTGCAGGTGGGCGTCCTGTTGCGGACCGCGGGGTAAACGCTTGTGTGCTTTGAGAGCTTGTCGGAGAGCATGGCGGGCGGTGGTGGCTGCTTGGGGGAGAGAAGGGTGGGTGCTGGAGGTAAGGAAGGTCTGGAAGGAAAGATGGGAGGTGGAGGGCAGTGTGAAGGCGTAAACCATGGTGACGGTAGTGGTGATTGGGGGTTGAAGCTGGAGTGGAGTAGGAAGGGGAGAGCTGGAGTTGAGTTGGAGGAGGTGAAGATCTCCGCGGCAGCCAAGAAGCTCGTTTGCATTGGAACCTACGGGAAAAGCACGTCGGGGTCAATTCGGGCCTATTGGCCGAACTCATTAACTCATGTGGCTTATACGCTGTTATGCTGTAGATACATGATTTCGCTTGCAGGATGGCTTTCCATCCCTCATTCGTCCCGATTGCCTTCTTCGCACATGTTTCAAGGCGTAGATGCTGTTTTCTGACTCGGTGGATAATGATAAATCCAGCCTACTCTGGCCCTAAATTGTGACAACCTGTCTGTAGCAATGGCAAGTGATATGCTGATACTCCCAAGCTGGTGGACGATCTGCTGGTCATTGTGATCAAGCTGGGCCGGCCAGCTGTCCCAATGCCAGATACGGTGTAGGCGTTGTGATGCAGCTAGGCGTCTCGAGTCTGGCTTGTCGGGCTGCAGACGACCGACAGCCTTGTTGCAGTGTATTGTGAAGTGGTCTCTTTTCGAACGACCTGTTTGCTGTCTCATCATACATCCATCCCTTCCCCATCGGACAAGTTGCTCGGCGCACTACTGACACCAGACGAATCGCTGTCAGCCATGTACGGCGCCCGCGACCGCATTTGTGATCCCCAGTCCTGGAGACTGGGCGCGCCTCCCTCGATGATGATAGGATGCTCGTCGGCACTCTTGCCGAGCACGGTTCCCGCATATCTCGACTCTTCGCCGGTTTTGCTGTGTTTCTTCTTCAATGCCGTCAAAAAGTCTTCTTTCTCGAGAGCGTCCGCATCAACCATGTCGCCTTCACTGGGCACGAATCCAGCAATCCGTCGAATCTCCCGGTTGGCCGGCCCAGTGAACCACGACAGAAAGCCTTCTAAACCTCGCATATCTTCTTCTCCCTGCCAATCCTCCTCCCATTCTCGCAGCTGGGGTCGTAGCGCGCCTGCGTCTTGCAGCGCTTGGTAGATATCTTCGAGGACCGGAACAGGGTCATGCGGATGAGCGTTTGCAGCATGGGCAGTCGTAGATGAAGCAAGGATCATGATGTATTGGGCGGTAAGGTCAGCGAGAGTGTCTAAAACGGACGGTCGCGTCGCATGGAAGCCTGCTGCGCGCAGGATCTGGATGATTGGCGGGCGGAGAAGAGCGTTGTGTAGATTGGAGCCAGACATGTTGGCGTATGGGTTGTGATGAAGAGCAACGATAGAGACGTCGAGAAGAGCTATTCAGCTCGCAGACGAGGATTATATAGCTAAGAATATTAGCGGCTCAATGCGTCGCTATTGTTGAGGTCGAGTGTTAGGAGATGAATAGGAAGCAAAGAGAGGATCAATGCTGAATGGAAGGGCCTCTTACTGCCTTTTCGGGGTCTTCCGCCTTCTGGCTCCGCCCTCGAGTCTTCGTCTCCGCTGTAACACAGCAAGCTTCACTTCACTCCATCCATCTGCCAGCCTCCTACCATCTCTGCTTTGACCTGATTTCGCTCACTTCTACATCGCATCTCCACCGACTTGGTGGTCACCCCTCGCCATGTCGGACACACCTCGTCCATCCCTCAAGCTCACCTTCGGGAAAAAGAAGGCGCCCGAGGAAACACCCCAGAAACAACCTGCTGCACCTCCTCCGCCAACAGAGACCCCTCAACGCAAACTTACGCTCAAGATCGCCCGTAGACCAGCACCAGAAGCGCCGCCTGAGGATGACAAACTCAAGAAAAAGAAGAAGACTTCGAAGAAGCGCCCAGCAGAGGGACCCGCGTTGCAGGAACCATCCACCACGGTCGCGACAGCCCAGCCCTCTGGACCCAAACGTCTGAAGTTAAACCCATCGAAGAAGCCCGGGGTCCAGTCGCTCCGTATCAAGAACAAGGGGCTGGTCCCCAACCGACCGGTGGGCGTTGGCTACGACTCGGAGGCGTCCGATACAGAAATCGACCCATCGATCGAAGAACAATTCATTTTGCGCATGCTGCCCGGAGAGGATTGCGAATATCTACAACGCGCCATTTCTGAACGCCGGTTCGACCGTTCGGAGATTTCTTTCAAGCCACTCACCCGTGAGGGACGACGCGCCATCTTCAAGATCCGCGATCACCAATACGCCGCAGCGCTGGTCGACTTGCCATGTATCATTGAGGGTATGAAGAGTTGGGACCGGCGTGGGTGGTACAAATCTGCGGATATCTGCCAGATGCTTCTGATCCTTGGCCCGGTTGCCAATGAACAAGAGGCCATGGACTACCCACTTCCCTCGGACATTCTACACCCAGATGACAAGACACTGCAATACCCACATGGTCTCACGCCGCCATTGCGATGGGTGAGAAAGCGCCGTTTCCGGGAACGAATTAGCACGCGGACTATCGAGCAGGTCGAGAAGGCCGTCGAGGATCTGATCGCCCAGGATGAGGCTGCCGTGGCACCTATCCGCTATGAGCTGGTTGATAAGACAGCATTGAACCGGGCTGAGGGACTGGTCCAGAGTGGTGATTACGACTACGAAGACGAATACGATGATGAGCAGGATGCCGAGGGTGAGATGGAGGAAGGCATGGAAGACGGCGGTCTGTTCGATGATTTCGAAGACACCCTTGCTGCCGAAATGGAGGCTGCCTTGGCTGCCGGCGACGAAGGCGAGGCAGGCGCTGCGGCCGCGGCACCCGGAGCCGAACCACCATCAGATGCTGGGGTTTACCAAGCGGGCACACCGATGGCAACGAAGCCGTCCACGCCAGCGCCAGAATCATCCGGTGATGAGAGTGACGGGTCCGACGATGGCGACGAACCGGAAGACGAGCTGGACGATGAGCAACTCGAGCAACAGCGGCAGATGCAGCAGCAACGCGAGGAAATTGCCGAATTGGAGGCACTGATCCGGGCCGAGACGGCGAAGTGGGAGAAGATGCAGAACGCCATTCTGAAGGGCAAACTGGCCAAGCGCATCCACGATCTGAAACAAGATCTATCACTGAAGAAGGTTTCTATCGGCGAGGGCGATGATGCTGATGGTTAATCAACACCTTACCCATATGTCTGTATGCTAATAGCTATTGATCGATTTCTGATACCCCATTACAAACTATCCATACCATTAACCTATCCTATTCTATCCTACCCCCTCCCTATAATCCACCAAAAACCACACTAAAGTATAATAACAGAATCAAACAACCCTCCCCTTAGACCCCCGACTCGCCGCCCCCACCACATCCACCTCCTCATCCTGCCTCAACTTCCTCCTCCTCGCCTCCTCCCCCTCCCCCTCCGGCGGAGCCGGACTCTGTCCAACCCGATCCCCCAACATCCTATCATGCATCTCCCTCTTCTGATCCAAGTCCGCCATTTCCCCCTTCTCGTACCCCGGCGCCCCTGGCCCCTCGGCACTGCCTACCGCGCCCGCATGCGCCCCGGCTTGTGCTCTGGCCCGCGCATCCGCCGACTTGCCCTGCACGGCCCGCGCGATGTCCCCTTCTGCGGGCTGCTGCTCGACTCCGTATTCGGTGTCGAGGGTGGAGGCTGCGTTGCGCATGGATTCTTGGTGCTTAGCGGTGTTGGAGTTGGAGTTGGAGTTGGAGGGTTGGGAGGCGGCGTTGCGGGTTATGGGAGACAGGGCGTCGCCGCGGTGTCGGGGGAGGTGGTCGTATTGCGATGGGTTTTGGGATGAGGATTGGGAAGTGCGTTGCTCGGAGGGTGTGTGGGTTACTGGGTTGGTGGATTGGTTGTAGGCGGCTTGTTTGGGGGGTTGGGGGGGTTGTTGTTGGTGGGATGATTGCATTGTGGTTCAGAATAGGGCCTTGTAGATTGGAATTAATTAATTGATTGGAGTTAATGGGTGGATGTTATTGTGTCGCTGTGGGTGGTTGGAATGGAGGAGTTGGGATGTGGTGATGGTGGTGATGGTAAGTATAAGAGAGCTGTGAGGGGATGACGTCAGTGATGATGTGATGTCAATATTGGAGGGAGTGAAGAATAGTTGGTTCTTAAGTATATTGGGTAGATTGGTTGTAGAGATTGTCTGGAGTACTCTATCTCATGGAGTTAGTGGTATTGTCCTGCCTTGGAGGTGATTTGACATCTGGTTCGTTCTGCTTGGGGATCTGCTGATGGTCTGTTGCTTTGGCCGTTAGCTGTCATATTCCCATCTGGCTGAGTTAGGAGGGCACATTATAGAAGTGCGGGATCAATTAATAACTTAAAGATGTTATTATATAATAAAAGCGGTTAGTGGGATAACAGATGTCAAATATGATAGACAGCGAAAGAGAAGTTTTACAGTAGCTAATCGATGGATGGGTGATGAGGGTATGTGGGGATGACGGATGCAGCTGTGATGGATGGAGCTTACGCCGTTAGAATTTAACTACTATGACTAACGAACTATTTGCATGGGATCATCGCAGTCAGATGAGTGCTACCCAAAAAAAGCAAATATATACACATACTCCCCTCAGCATAAGTATACAATCTTGACAAGAACATAAGCCACATGCAATAAATCCAATCGGGAACATGCTTCAGTGGCATGTGATACCGCGGGAATCACTCCTTATTCTTAATTTCCCCGGATATAGCAAACAATACAGTTTAACGATTACTGATCACAACTAACCCTCAAAGTACTATACAAGACCACCATTCCATCTTCTCTACCATCCCCGCTTCATGTCACACACGTACACAGTCACCAACGAGTAACAAGCAACAACCCTCTCCCACTGTACCACCACCACCACCATGTCCACCACATCTCCGCTCTTCACCCTCCCCATCCCTTCCACCTCCGGCTCCATCACCTGCACCAACCCGTCCCCCGATCAACCAACAATCTACCTCCTCACCTTCATCTCGCCCCCAGATAACCGCCTCACCCCGACCTTCATCGACACCTTCCTCGTAGCCCTCGACATCATCGAACACCGCTACCAGAAGGGTGTGGTAATCACCACCAGCGGGATCCCCAAGTTCTACAGCAATGGACTAGATCTCGAACTTGCGCAATCCACAGAGGGATTTCTGGACAAATGGCTGTGGAAGTTATTCCGTCGACTGTTAACGTATGTTCTTAACTTCACCACTAACAAACATAGACCGTACTAATATAGATCATCTATGGAATACAGCTACCCCATGCCCACCATCTCCCTCCTCAACGGCCACGCCTTTGCCGGCGGCTTCATGCTCGCCATGTACCACGACTACCGGATCCAGAACCCGAGTAAGGGCTTTCTGTGCATCAACGAGCTCGAATTCGGAGTTCCGTTGCAAGCGCCCATGATGCATGTCTTCCGGGAGAAGTTGACGCCGAACGTCTGTCGGGATGTTGTGCTCGAGGCGAAGAGGTTCCCTGGGCCGGAGGCGCTGCGGGTGGGGATTGTGGATGGCCTTGGGGGTGTGGAGGGGACGGTGAAGTTCGTGAAGGAGAGGAAGTTGGTGTTGATGCCCAAGACGGAGATTTATGGAGTGATGAAGGAGGAGATGTATCGGAGGTTGTTGGGGGTGGTGGATGATCATTCGGGGAATTTGGAGTGGAGAGAGAGGGTGGAGGAGAGGAAGGGCGAGATGGAGGAGGTTGGGAGGAAGAGTGTTGAGGTTTGGGAGGGGAGGAAGGGGGCGAAGTTGTGATGTATTATTGCATGTGGTGTACTAGATATATAGATGATTCATACTAAGGCTCTATATAGAACATGAGGTGATGGGAATGGTGGTAGTAACTTTTCATAGAGACTGGAGTTACTACTAGTCAGGGTCAATTGAATCTACAAGGCTGATCACAGCCTTCTCCATACGGCTTTATCTCGATGAGAAATAGATGTAAGACATGCGTGCCTAGAAAGGCAACAGCTAAGGAAATACTATAGGGCAATCCACTAAAATCGCCAGGTACTTCTGATACTCGTGAGAGAGAATGGCAAAGTGCCTTTAATAATTTCATTGCTGTCTCACATCACTTTTTCCCAAGTTACTATACTATCTCCACCAACCTACATTACAGCAATCATACCTGATACGAATAGTAGTCACCTAGTAGTATTCTTGTATTCTCTAATATTCTATCTACTCCAAAACAGTCCACTGCATATTCCCTAATCTCAATCTCAGTAACATAATCACAAAACCCAAGCAAGCAACACAGTGAGCTCAAGGTGAACTGTATGCATACTCCGCCACACTCACTTCACGCACTTTTGTTTCATAAACACAGCATGATGGGCTCGCTCGCTCGCTTGCTTGCCTTCTTTAGTGAACTTCAATTCACCGTGCTGGGATGGGGCCTTGCCCTCGCAAAGTAAGACTTATACAAGATTTTTAATGGTCGGATTGGCGTGCGATCACGCTTACTACTACTACATCGTTTAGTAATGCTCATGGTGGTCTCGCTGTTGACTTCATAGCATTTTACATTTGCTAGGTATTTTTACTCAGCTATATCTTCGTTTTCATCAAAGTTTGCTAAATGTTCATATCAGATACAGCTTGATTTCAACATGGAGAGCAGAAAACGCAAGGCGGATGATGAATTGGATCCCAGCGCTGATGATGTTGGCAGTGTGCCTGAGGTCGATCCTAGCACGTCTGCCAGCGTGCCTCAAGTTGAACCCACTACTGCGGATAGCGTCCCTGGGGGCAGACCCATCACGGCTGACAGCATTTCCAAAGTCGATCCCGCCATGGCCGCTTACATTGAGAAGAGACGCAAAGAAAAGGATGACTGGCTGGTGCGGCAGGGAAAGGCACTGTGGAAGAACTACTGGACCGTGAGAGAACAACAGCTTTCCAGGCCTTTCGGGCCACTGCCGAGCTATCCAGAGGTGATCGAGGTCTGGCAACGTGATGAGGTAAGATAGGATACGGACGTGAAATCGGTTGTGGTGGGCAAATCATTGACGGGCATTAGGTGGACCAAGAAGCTGCATCCTCGGAGTTCCCTCCAAATGGAATAACTGATAAGAACCCTCCTCTTTCTTACGACGTCATCGCAAGTATTCTCTGGAAAACCAAGGGCCACTGTCCCCAGGCACAGGCGTGGTTGAAGAGCCATGAGATGAACAGATTCATGCGTGCTAATGTGATCGTGAGGCACTATGGACGTGAGAATCTGAGAAAGAAGGCGCTCCATAACATGTACCAGAGAAAACTTGGTCTGCAGAAGGCGGCCATGGAGTCCGCGCAAGTGATGGATGATGGGAAGGAAAACCAGGAAAATGAGGCTACCCCTTGGGACAGAATCATGGCAGCTCATGACAGACTTCGAAAGGCGATGGGTGAACCTGAGGTATTTGCGCACGAGATTCTGTTGTGGTAGCTATTCCCTGTCACACCGTCAGTTTTGCCGGCACATGTCAGTAGGCGGCTGACGTACCCTCTGATTCTGTCTCTTTGAATTACATAGTAAAGATGAATGTCCACTCATGTACCAAAGCTTGACGGTTCACTGGACGGTTCTTGTAACTAGCTTTTCCAATAATCACTGATTATCAAGTCTTCTTGTTTCTGTTGGTGCCTTTGGCCTTTCCCGGACTCTCTAGCTTGTCCACTAGAGGCCGATACGGCGAAGCTAACACATGCTCTGGCGCTCTTTGAGCACTATCGTCGCGCCTGGGTTCACCGGACGACGGCCGCCTCCGCTGCTCCTCGTGCATCTTATCCAACGGTTCGCCCACGATCTGGTATTTATTCCAGTTGATGGGAGGCATGCGGACAACATTCTGCGGCGTGGGCAGGGTCCCTAGCCCAGCATAAACGCCTCTCTTCGGACTCTCTACATTCTCGTCTTCCTCATCTTTGTCATGAGTGAAGTTGATGAAAGCCCCTGTATCCTTCGCCGACAGATTCCCGGCCGCCAGTTCGCGGGCGAACCCTTCTGGGTCCTCTGCTGCGGCCTTCTTGAACTTTTCTAGCGTCTGAATATCCCGCATGCTTTGCTGCTTCTGGAGCTGAAGGATAGAGATCGCGGATCGCAGAGCAATGGCATCTGGGTTCTCGCTCTCCGAGATCGGGACGGCGGCCGGTTCGGGCGCGAACACGGGGGCTGCAGCCGGCGGGGTAAAGTCCGCTAATGAACCATAAGGGGGCACTCTTGTTGTTGGCGAAGGCGACGCCGCAGGAGGAACAATAGGGTGAGGAGCGCCGTTCCCCGCGGCCGCGTTCGTGACAGGCACAAGATGGGCAAAGACGGGAGTCACGGGCGAGTAAGGTGGGCGCGGCGGAGTACCTGGCCGATCAGGCTGGTTGCTTTGATTCTCCTGCGAAGGCTGCATTGCGCAAAGTTGGAGAGAGCAGGAACCAGAGGGGTTGTTGAGGAATGATACGTGGTAGGAACCAGAGGATAACCTGATCCAACGGATTGCTGGCTGGATCGATGCGATGATCGACGGGAATGACGTCTGTGCCTGCAACTGAGAGGTTTGAGGGATGGTAATAGCGGTGACGGTCAGGAAGCAAGTCTAACGAAAGTGACAAGTCAAGAACACTGCTCAATATGAGACAGTCAATGACAGTTCATGTTGGACGAGGCGATGCTTGAGTCAGAAGAGTGATGGAAGGTGCTGGATGCGCTTATCGAAGGCGATTATCGGGGTTCCAGTGCGGAGTCAATCAACCCCAGTCACTTTGCTTGTTGGTGGCTGGGAAAGACATGCTGATGGCATTTGGTTGGAAAGTGCATCTCCACAATACATTTATTGTATCGACTATTCTTGTATACTTCTCAATGAATAACCAGTGAATTTCTATTCAGCAGCAGACAATAGGAAGTAAATAAATAAACAGTTAAATGAAACTCTTCTAGTGAATGTGTCTATTTTAGGAAACCATATGGCCTGATCTGGTGGCCTGATTGATGCCTGCAGATTTTTCACCGCCAAATTTATTCGAAAAATTAAAGGCAAAATCCGCATTCCGTTAAGATTGAACCCTCTCCAGAGTCTATTCAGTCTCGCATTCCTTTCCCTTTTTCTCACAATGAAGCGCAAGACTGATGGAAGAGAATCCCTCGGCGGCAAAGACCAGCCCGAGTCCAAGAAGCGCGCTTTGTCGAGCGAAGAAGCCGCTGCGCGCTTCCGTGACGGCTTATTCGAGCCGTCGGTCCTGAAGGACTATACCGAGCAATATGCCCAGTCTGCTCCGTATGCTGCCCATCATACATTCTGACTGGCAGATAACCTGAGCGAAGCTAACCCCAAGTCCAAAGGTACAAGCATGGTGTCATTCACCCCCTCATCGAGCCCTCCCTCTTGCGCGCCGTCCGCGACGAAATCCAGGCCCAGGTGCAGTTCACCGAGAAGGAAACCGACATCTACAAGATCTTCCAATCCGGCGACCTGGCCAACCTGGACGGTCTCGACGATGCCTCTCTTGCGAAATTGCCCTCCATCCTCAAGCTGCGCGACGCCATGTACTCTGCCCGCTTCCGTGAGTTCCTCTCGAAGGTCACCGGCTCTGGAAAGCTGAGCGGACAAAAAACCGACATGGCCATCAACGTCTACAACGAGGGCTGCCACTTGCTCTGCCACGACGATGTCATCGGAAGCAGACGTCTGTCCTACATTCTTTACCTCACCGACCCCGACCAACCCTGGCAGGCCGAATGGGGTGGCGCACTGCGTCTGTACCCCACGACAACCAAGAAGGATGCCAACGGCGACGACGTCCTGATCCCCAGCCCGGACTACTCTCTCAGCATCCCTCCCGCCTTCAACCAGCTCAGCTTCTTCACCGTCCAGCCCGGAGAGAGTTTCCACGACGTCGAAGAAGTCTACCACCCGAAAGACAACGAAGACAAGTCCAAGAAGCGCGTGCGCATGGCTATCAGCGGCTGGTTCCACATCCCGCAGGAAGGCGAAGACGGCTACGAAGCCGGTCTGGAAGAGAAGCTCGCTGAGCGCAGTAGTCTGGCCCAGCTCCAGGGCCGCGGCGACATCTACGACCTCCCCCAGCCCAAGACCGTCGACTGCGAGAACGAGGACGAGCAACAACCCGAGGAAGGAGGCAAAGGAAAGGGCAAGGCGAAGGTGGAAGAGGAGCCCACGCCCGAATTCACAGAATCCGACCTCGCCTTCCTGATTCAATACATCGCCCCATCCTACCTCACCCCCGACATCGCCGAGGAAATGTCCGAGACCTTCTCCAACGAGTCGTGTCTCAGTCTGGAACGATTCCTTTCGGAGAAGTTTGCGACTCGTGTTCGGACCTACATTGAAGAGCAGGAGAAGAAGGGCCTGCCCAGTTCCTCCGACGAGATTCTCGCCGAGACCGGATGGACGGTCGCCCGTCCTCCCCACAAGCAGCGCTACCTGTTCCAGCAACATGGCACCGCGACCCAGGACCAGAAATCTCCGATCCAGGAACTCCTCGACGACCTTTTCCCTTCCCGGGCATTCCGCAAGTGGCTCGCTCTGATCACCGGCGCGGACCGTATTACCAGCTACGACTACCTGGCGCGTCGCTTCCGCAGAGGCCAGGATTACACCCTGGCCAGTGGCTATGATGGAGAACAGCCCCGTTTGGAGCTGTCGCTTTGCTTGACGCCCACTCCGGGCTGGGAGAAGGAGGACGACGAGGAGGAGGAGGATCAGGATCAGGATCAGGAGATGGGCGAGGGCTCATCGGAGGAGCAGCAGAAGAAGGCGGTCAAGCCGAAGAACAAGAAGGATGAAGGAGCCGTCGCCAACGGCGACGCCGAGGAGCCTTCGGTGGGTGGATACGAGATCTACATGGCCGGCGACGACGAGGATGAGGGCGATGCAGCGATCTACCGGTCCGCAGGCGCCGACGATGACGATGACGGCATTCTCTTCAGCACTGCCGCCGGATGGAACCGACTCAGCATTGTGTTGCGGGACAGCGGCACCCTGAAGTTCGTCAAGTATGTCAGCGAGGCTGCCAAGGGTGACCGTTGGGATATTACGGGTAACCTGGGGGTGGAGTTTGAGGATAACGATGACGAAGATGAAGATGATGAAGATGTGGATGATGATGACGTTGAAGAAGAGGAGGATGAGTGAATTGGTAAATCACAAACTGAAACAGGAAAATGTCGTATATTTTCCCCTACTGTACATACTACGCAACATGATGAACCCCAAACAATCTTGACAAAAATAGATACAACTATTCCCTAGGATTTACACACTTCTGCCTACAGTAAACGCCCCGAAACACACACACACACACACACACACACACAGCCACAGCCCATTCCATTCCATCCCACACACCCAATCCAATCCAATCAACAATATAATTCCAAGTAGTACATAGGCAGCAACGATATATACCCAAAACACCGCAGGATCAATCCCTAAACCTTAAGTACCATCCCTTTTACCCACACCCTGTATGATATACGATCCTCGTAAGTAGGAACGAAACCTAGTTGTTTCGCACCGCCACCCCAGCAATCGATCCTTCGGAAAAAACACTACCTACTAACTAAATTACGAACAACGAACGCCCGACACCCCACTTACTTGTGGGCAAAAAAAAAGGAAGGATTCGATGACTTTCTACAAAGTCAGATGGGTGTTTGTGTTTGTTGTTTGGTTCATCGAGTGGTGGATAATACATGTGATGATGAATATTTATTTGTTTCATTGTTGACTCGTCATATATTATCATAATATTTGTAAGTAGGTAGGTGGGGGTAGTGTTTTAAGTAGTTGGTACGGAGTACGTAGTAAGGACGGATGATCCGATCCTGCGGTGATTTGCGCAGGGTATATACATATATAGTATACCGTAGTACTTTATAGTAAACTGGTTATTGATATATTGTTGGATAGGTAGTAGTGTGGGTGGATGATATTTTTGGAAACTAGAAGGGGAAGGGGGAGGGGGCAAATTGATGCAGGGGATGGATGGATAGTTCATGTCTGGAGATATTAGTTTATCAGGTTGTATCTAATGTAATACATACTAGATGGATTGATGCTTGTACTATATATTTGTATCATGGTTTCTTTCTTGAATATGTTGTAGTATGTGTAGATTATATTAAGTGGTGTAGTGGTTTACACCTTATTATGTCACTTGGCTTGAATCAGTACTAGACCCTAATTGAGTAGGGGACTCTGGAATCATGTCACCATAGTGAATGCGAGAAAGAGTAAGTAAGTCTATGATTCTACTGTATGACGTGCTGGATGCTGAGAAGGGGTTTCTATTCTAGATAGTGTGGGTCTGTGAGTATTCCATTGCAATTGTAGCTACTTTCACGATCTACAATCTACTATATCATTAATGTCTGATGGGCTTTGGGACTAAATGAAGTAAATACAGTCAAAATCTAACAGTTCACCTCGTATACAGGGTATATTTTCCCTTTCAATGATCGGATATGATATAGCGATCTCCGAATTATTCATTCCCCTTAGCACAAAAATATACACCAACAGAACCCTTAAACCTACTGATGATACACATCACAAATAACTCACGATCATGAGACCACTCCCACTTCCCCAATATTCTTTCTATCCCTGATTGATTGATTTATTCCAACTAAAGTATACTTGCTTATTCCTCTTTATACACTTATACTTTTTCCTCCTAACAAATCATCCGCGGAATCAAGTCCGCTGCAGATTGATTGGCCATCTGTCACAGGAGCTATTTAAACCTTCTTTTTCTTTTTGTTTCTGATTTCCAAGCCAGGACACTCGACTTTTGGAATTTAGACTTTGCATTTGCTTGGAGCAAGCCATACTGTAAGCCATATTGCATAGTTCATTTGTCACATGGGAAGTAACTATTTACTGGAATACCACCAATCACTTATGAAAAAAGATTTCAAATTCGAGCCTAGTTATACTTACTTATGCCACAGATTTGTGATGAACGGTCCCAAATTTCAGACTCCTCATTCAATCCCAACTATTCAATTTGGCATGCATCGGGCTTTGAAAAAGATGTGCTGAATACGACTCCGTAGGGCTACATTGACACTTGATTGGTGGATTGCTGTAACCAGGAGGCGTTTCAGAGATCCAGCCTGTGCCTTATTTCGAGGCACAAACTGCGGATTCCAGCTGAGCTGAGACCCTATCACCGGAGAGCCTCACCGTGGCCCATGGTTTCTTGGGTGTCAAATCCCGGCTTTTGGGGCTCACATACTTTGTCCTATCTTGGCAACATTTCCCTAGTTGATGATTATGGATTAACGTCTCGCAGGATTGCGGGGTGGGACGTGCTCTCTTGCTTGAAACGGAATGTTTAACGGAGTCCGGGTTTGGGGTTCATGGACGAGGCCGAGTCTGCCAATCAGGGACATTTCCGCAATAACTACTTCCTACTTACCTAAATAAGACACTCGAAACTGTGCTCCGTAGGGCTAAGGGATGGGGAGGAATTGGGATGGCTGAAGCATTGGGGGCCACCCCACGTGGTTCTGGCCCGCGTATACTCGGAGGTCAGGAACCTGGTTCTCTGTGCGTGAAAGTGGACGCATCGGATTACTTGTCGACACATCCCGTGAGGCTGTGGACGGGAGGATTAGTTCAATTGGAAATATAACCTGCTTTTTTTTTTTTTTTTTTTTCTTTGCGAGGGAGGGGTAGAGAGAGTGTGTGGTGTGCGTTGGACGTTCGAAATCGTCGCCGGCCCCTCCCACTCAGCCTGAAGTTGGGGTCGGAAATTGTGACAGGTGCCCTCTATGCATGGGCGTCAAGCCCACCCCCTGCTTTTGCGCGGGCGATGATTGATACACTCCGTCCTAATTGGTCTCACTTGACCGCGCGGTGCAAATTGGTGGTTTGATCCAGCTCAGCCCTTCTCATGGCTTCTCAATCATGGATATTCTACTGCAGGCGGCGCTGTATCAAGTTCAGCGGGCGTGGTTCAAACTCGACCCCTTCGCTTGCAAATGAGGCAACCGGGCAAGTTCCGTTTGTCTCTCCGATGATAGAGTAAGCTCATTAACCATGCTTATTGAGGCGACAAAACCGAGTTGGGAACTTAGCCTCGGACTGCAGAGCTTATTGGGCCTGTGGATCGATCGATTCCTGTGCTTAGTGTGCTGAAGGATGCGCCGGCGGCCCAAAAAGACGGCCGTGGCGACTAGTTCATTGTCCGGTGTCCGTTTAGAAACGGAGGGAGTTGGTGTCCCTCGAAGGATGCCTCGGTCTGTTATCACCCTTTTCCAGCACTGAGTGAGATGTGTCATTGGTGAGGAATAATTACTTTTTGACCAAGGAGTTCGATGATAGATTGAGACGAAGCTGATCGGAGAAGTCCGTAGTCACGGCATTCTTCTGCCTCGTCCTTTCCCTCCCTGACACGCGACGCTAATTTGAGCTGACATAATCCTCATGGGCGGCGGCACACCAGTGCTGAGGCGCGTGTGTTGCCTTTCAATATATTAATGTATGCACGACGCTCGTTAGCCGTGGGGTCCAGTCATCTGCATGGGACATGGACGCCCAGGCTGTGTGCCATGGGGCAGGTTCAGCCCGAGCATGTTGGGATCCAGCGGTTGGGACTGGCTTACCATCATGCCTAGGCCTCTACTCAGTACTCTATCATTGAACCATGCCAGAATAGCTAGTCCAGATGCGGCAAAAGGATGTGCATATAGTAGACCACGGTATAGACAGGGAGCTGTCAGGAATCCACCTTGCCAGTGGGCAAGTGTTTGACGGGGCAAGCAGGAGCCTTGCATGGAGAGATATTCAACACTAAGTGCTGACAGCCTGACACGGGTTTCGAGCAAGACCAATGTAACCGTCCGGGCTTACTGTTATCATGATTGAGATGTCAGCGGGGGATTAATCTAATCGAGTGAGCACGGTGCAGATTTCCCAAGGTCTGGCCCACGAGCGGCAGGTGGGATCCATCCGAGGGTACTAGGATTAGTCGAGGCAGACATCATCGGGGAGGACATCATTCAGCAGCTGCAGGGGCGGCACTTTCGTCAGGCATGGGGCTAGATAGATAGAAGGAGGGTGAACTGTGATTGAACTTCTTAATCGAGGTTAGTTGGCGCCGGGGTGAAGAAAGATCGCTTTATGGCCCATGCTCCAGGCGAACGAGATGGCCGCGTCCAAGGCCCCAAGTCTGGCCGTGATGGATGGGGACACCACCGGATCTATACCGGGACAGGCAGGTGCTTAAGGGGGGCCGCCGGTGTCAGGTAAATGAAAGCACATGGCCCAATACTGCACAAGCAACCCCGGTCAGGCCCAATGCATCCCTGTCAACTAGCAGAATTGAGATGCATGGTGTAGTGATGGCTAGAATTAGTCTCGTGGCGGGGGCGGTGATACAAGGATTCTTTTGGCTTCGTGTTACCTAAACGAGGCCCGGTGATTAGTTGGGCGTCCGGCTCCACCCGATGGGGAGACAAGACCCCTGTCCTGTCACATCGGCCCAGCACTGCACACGCTGCAGGAAGCGGGTCGAATATGGCTGACGGGGGCAGGCAGCGGCAGTGGTAGTAGATGAATATCTATCCAGCCAGGCTTGAAGAGCGCTAGACAGGTTGAAAGAGTAGGTACTTTGTCCCTACTTAGGGTATCGAGTAGCAGTAGTTCTCAGTACTAGTGAGATTGGAGGAAAATTGGAGGACCGTACTGTCAGTCAGTATAGGCTAATCAGATCAAAACTCCGGGCGGCGCTGTGTGTCATCTCTCATCAGCCGTTGAGATGGTCAGTCAGTTAATCCCCGATCAGAAATGATTTTGCTAAAGAGAGTTCAGTCAAGGACATTGTCTTTTGCCCGAAATGCTTATGATGGATATGGATATATTGGGGCTGTCCTCGTAACCACGGGACAACTGGTCAGAAGGGGAAGGGACGGAGGAAGCAAGCCAGTTAGAACTAATGGAGGGATGAGAGACTCCAACAGAAAAAAAAAAAAAAAAATACATCACATATAAAAGACACCAAGAAAATGAGTACAAATTAATAGCTTCGGTCATCACAACGATGATGATAGTAATGATAATAGCAACGACCATAACAGAACCATCTGAAGCGGGTCGTTGCATGGGCCAGGATTCATCCAGTCCCCATCCGGTCGAGATCCGACTCCGACTCCGCCTCCGACTCCGGCTGTGCTAACTTTGGCGCTCGCGTGCGCCCTCCACCTTCCAACCCTTGACGGTTGGCTCGATGCTGAAGCCGTCCGTTTTAGTGCGCCTTCTAGTCATCCTGCAAAAGCGGAGCTGCTGGGCGGCATGGATCGTCATTGGCCTGCCTTCTGATGGGCACTGTGACAAAGGTGCCTGTCTTAGTGGGAAAAGTATCTAGAGTCCGTTGTTGCTGGTGTCACCCGGGCTTGAACCCTGCTTTGTTTTGGGTTACAGAAACAATCGGGCGAGTGTCAAGGGGGGTAGGAAGAAAGTTCATGCCGTCATCGTTGGGGTTTGACACATTTAGAAAGGTGGCCTTGATATTGGTTGATACACCTCAGCCTGGCTCTTAAACATCACAGACTAGCTTCATTGCTCCCAGGTCACGCTAGCGGCAGAATGCTGTTGCCAGATCTGCAATGGGGCAATCTGGGGAGGTTGTGAATTTTGAGAGTAAGGAGAAAAGAAAGAAGGTTATGGTAATCATCGTACGTAGTATTGTTCTCCTCACAGCTGGTTGTCAGCTTGTGTCTGTCATGGATGGCCCCAGACCCATTTCTTGTGCCGTCATCAAATAGTTCATTACGGTCAGGTTCCATTGCATCCGTCGAGCAGAATGGGTGGGAGCTTCCAGTGATAAGATCGACCGTTAAGTTTGGGGCTTGAAAATCGCCCTGCCAACCAGATTAATTGCCCACTAGTGCCTGTCCTCTCCATCGTCTTAGCGAGCAAAAGGCGACGATGTTCATTCTCGGTTAATCAACTTGGTATTGAGCGCGGTGATTCTTGGGGCGGAGATCCCGTCGAGTACAGTTGATCATGGAGATAAAACACCGCCAAAGGGCCAAAAATACATAACAGCGGTATTGTCCAAGTACCAAACACAAACCAAAGACAGAAGCAGCAAGGGTTTCGAGTGACACCAATTCTAGGTCTGCGGTGAAGCTTCAGGCACTCAAAATAGACGCCACATTCTTTCATGTTCCATGTGTGGAAGGCAGTTTGACATGCTGCAGAAAGGTGTGGGTGACAAGGAAGGGATAAATCTGGCTGGTGGAATTGGCAAAGTACCTCAACTCCGGGGAGACTGACTCGTCCAGCTAGCTCACTGGCCATGGCGATTACTTAAAAGGGGATCATATCAGACAACGCACGGAGGGCGATCGACATACAGCACTTGGCAGGCAAGGGCAGGAAGGAGAAAGAAAGAAAAAGGCCAGGCAGATCATACATGAGATACAACTGTGCATGCTACTTACGTAGTGCTTTAGCGCTGCTGCTATTCGCGGATGCTGCACATTGTCCACATGTACCTTGATGCGCATGTCGGCTGGTCACATTCCACCGGAGCGGGGGGGAATACATACTGCGTGCAGGCCTTCCCAATCCCCCAAGAGCAAAACCAAGTATTGAGTGTCTGATTATTGGTGCCTCCCTGCATCTAAGAGACTTGGTGTACGGGTGTGGTCGCTCTTTGGCTACAGACAGCCAGGGCTCATGTTGCAGTGGCTGTTATCATGCTGTCTGACTTCACCACCCATGACCGACTGCCCCCTTCTGGTGCTTTCCAGGATGAGGTCCTCCGAGGTGCACTGGGAACACCATGGACGCTTGGCGTCGTGTGGCTGAACCAGTCTCAACCGTCGCATGTCCAGAACCCCCCTCCCCCCTCTTTAGCGGCGATCATTCCACCATGGTTGCCATGTGTCGGGCGCTGGAAAGCCAAATGAGTTGTGCGTTAGGCCTTATTGGGCGTTAGACTTAAGACTTTGCGCTGACACTGTGAGCGAACAGGAATATGATACTACTCCGAAGTGTGACGACATATCCGGTTCTTCTTGTATCTTATTGTAAATTGAATTTGCTGCTGCCCTTGTTTCAAAGCATCTTTCGTTTCCTATCAATCAATGGCATAGTTTTGCTGGAATCAGGCCATGTGGTAGGTACTGTGAGCTAGATGTCGGGCAGGTATTGTTGGCCATTACCGACAACTATCCTCCCCCCCCCTCCCCCTGCTACCATGTCCCAACCAACCGCTGCAGCCACTTAGGCTTGTGCACCACGTAGTAAAACTAGTAATCGTGGCTACGGAGCTTGGACGACGGTCTCTAATGCTTCCTCCTATGGGCTTTGACGGTCAAAGTGACATAACACGCCGCGGGGAGTTGTTGAAAGGGGTCTACAGCAGAGCCATGCACCTGGCCACTCGAGCTCAGAACCTCCTCACCTGTAGATAGGTTGTGGATAAAGCGAGCATAGAATCTGTCGCATTTGCCGCCCTCACCCTGATCCCAAGCTGAACCAATGTCTGCAAGGAGGACGATGCAAGCAAAAAGGCTAAGTGCCAACTGCTCTGGCGCGAACGGAATGGTACCGTGGGTGGATGGAGCCTTCACTGGAAGCCCAGAAGCCCAATACGGTACGCTTACGCCGCTTACGGCAGTTCGCCGGTCGTGGGACCCCTGAGGCCGATCGTCCAGTGCAGCCACGTGAAGGCAGTTCGCATCGAGATCGTTGCCGACCGAGGATGGCCTCTGCTTTGTTTAAAGGATCAGGCGGATGATCTGGATGCACCGCCTGTCTTTCGTGGGATGGCCCATCCAGTACACCATTGCCATCTGTCCACGATCACCTTGAGTCTCAGGTATCGGATGTGAACGGATATGCAATCCCAATAAGTGCAGGCTCAAAATGTCTAGCAGGATGTACTACCGGTGGGCAGATTCATATGCTGTTGAAGACGGTAGTAAAGGCGAGTCAGATGAAAACCATAGAAAATTGACGACAAAGCTTATCCGATTAGAAAAGTCAGACCCGGCTGCTAAATCCAGTTTAGACCAAGGATTTGGAGTAACCGCCGTTCTACCTTCCAAAATAAAAAAAAAGCGTAGATACTCTTTTCTGAAATTCTACCTGAAGATTTTTCAATCTTCGTCTTGAAGGTGCAAGCCATGACAAGGCCATGCGACCGATGGGGATGACAGGCGTTGAATAGCAATGATGCAGAGACTCTGGTTCATGATGTAATGGCCCAGCTGCAACTCATTGCTCCGAAAAGACCCCTGGTACTGTGTTTAATATTCCTGGCATGATAGCGGCCCCTTCCCCCCCGCGGATTTGCCTGGGACAGGCGTTCAACAACGTGTTCTCCCGTCATGGTTCGAGTGCTAAGTAAGGCCGGGAATTCTTCAGCCCACGGGACATTTTGCAGGCGTGGAGGATGCATTTGCCATGCCAGCGGCCCCAATGCTGATTCGCCCACCCGCGCTGGGATCGACTCCCCATCCATTCTGGGCCCCACTTCCCGGCTGGTCTGAGCTACGATTTTCCCCAACCTGGTTTAGCTTAGCGCCCAAAGGGGTAGATAGAGAGCAACCAGGTGGAGGTTTAGAGCAGTTTGTCCCTGTTGGGGCTTCTCGTCTCACTACTACAACAGTAGATATGAGTTATGAGTCGTTACCAACAGGCAGACACAAACTTTTCCCGCTGGATGGGAAAGTTATGGATCCCACTTGCCTAGGCGCTCCTGCTTGACTCGACCTGTGGGGCGGTCGATGACAGTCTTGAGTTTCTTCGTTATCCTACCCGGATAGTACTAGTAGTAGTACTCCCAAATCGAAGATACCCAGATATAACCCATGAAAGAAAAAAGACTTGCACTTACAGTATGAATAAGGGAATTCTCTTAGGCGTCCTGGACCATCAACATTATCAACTTTCTCCCCGATAGTCGGATGAATGTATTTTCGAAAGGAGATTTTACTCCAGAGATACCTCACGGGACTGGGAGGGAGCAAAATAAATGGGGCGTTTGATGTGTGAGGCAACCTCGGTCCCGATCTGCGTCAACTTTGCCCCAGTTAGGTTCAACGATGATTACCCAACCCGGACAAGGCTCATTCGAGCTCTCCTTCGCGGATACGATCCAGGATCCAAAAAAGAACGACGGATCTCTGCTCGTTTCCGGGAGATGTCCAAGTCCGATCATGAACGACCGACAGAAGTACGCACCACAAAGTCCCCATCGGCGTCATTTACCAGATATTAATCGTATACGTATCATGAGCCAGGGCCCCGGAGAAGCGACCGGTTGATAAGCTGCAATATTGATACACGGACATGGATGGAAGGGTGGACACCAGGCGCCATCAGGACCAATAATTCCCTGCGATGGCCGGGGGAACTGTCAAACGTGGCTCTGATCCTGCCGACAAAAGGGAAAGAGAAGCAGATTTCCTTCTTCTCGACTCCAGCAGAGCTATCCGATGCGCTAAATCGCTAGTGGAGGACTAAGCAACTTCAAGTTTGGTACCTGACATTTACACCTACACTGATCGCTAGCCGACTGATAATATGACTGGGCTGGACCTTTGCCGTCAGAGTTTTTAGGATACGAAAGAAAACAAAAAAGTCATGATGGAAAAGTCTGATGATAATAATCGACCATTCTTCGGCCGCCTCCTAAAAATGTGGCAGAACTGCAACCCACGGAATGAGGAGCAGCTGGACCCTCAGCGAAATGGCCGCCTCGTGGCGGTGGACTCAATCGCTTTAGGATGTCGTATTAACTATTTTTATTTTAGTTGGGTTAGTTAGTCGCAGTATTAGTATGACTAATTTGTTCCCCTTCCTTTCTTGTCAATTTGATTTTAATATTTTTATTCCATTTACTCGACATTTTATTAACTTTTTTGACTATTTTATTTTCCTTCCTTTTCTAATGCTTGGCTGCTTTCCGGGCGGCCTCCCCTTCTACTTATGACCTATGTTAGCCGGCTTTCCTCTCTTTTTGTCCCCGAACTTGCGGTGCGCCTCTGAGGCTATCTGTCATATGGAAAATTGAATAGTCTGTACTATGTTTGAGCCACGGAGAAAATGGTTGTCTTTAGTGGCTGATCCTGTTGGGATGGCTTCAATTCCTGTCCAATTGCTGGCAGCCACTGCTGACCACGTACGGTTCAAGTACGCAGCGCCAAGCGACCTTTTATCGCTCATGTCTCTCTTACTTTCATACAGGACTGTACTTATCATGTCTCTTATACCCATCGAGGAATTTTTGCTTTCGTATAGAAGTGGTTGTCTCATGTGGCTGAGAGGAAGACCGAAAGAGACAAGACCCAAGAGTTATCTTCATTTCAATAAAGCCAGCCATGAAATGTATGCTATTATCATCTACTTTGACAATGGAATTAGAGTAAACAGGACATTAGGCATCTTGTAAAGATTGAAATGATTTTATTTAGAGAGAGATCTTGGATGCAAGTGTTGAATCATTATCGATAGATTTATTGCCCTTTCTCACACTCCTATTACATGTACTACGTACTACCAGGGAGACTGCAGGTAGGAAGGAAGGGATGAATTGGAAGTTGGCGGCGGCACTACTTTGTTCTTAACCTTCTTATTCTATTTTATTCTATTTGTTTTATTTATTTTATTTATTTGCTTTTTCTTCCTTTCGGGAATAGTATCATAAAAAAAAAATTTAAAATAAAGAAAATCAACTTCTCTTTCCCCTTTCTGGATTGTCCTTCAGTCGCCGAGTCTCACCTCGATTTTTTGCTTTACATGAGAAATATCGTTATTTTTTATTTTTTATTTTTTATTATTACCTCTTCCAGCCCTTAATTTAATTCTATTTTGGCGTTAGGTAAACTGCATCTGTCACTCGATCTCGTCATTTTCTATTTGCTTGCTATGCAGCATCGGTAGTACCTTTGCCTTGCGCTTCAGGGCCGCCCGGTACGATCACTTACAGACTGCTTGTTCTTTTACTCCATTCTGACCCTTTTACCCCAAGGTGAGGAGGGAACATCTTCAACCAAGAAGTGGTAGTGCTTATTCTTCTAATCTTCTCCTCTTCCCCTCTCTCTTGAGAGCCTTGGTTTTCTTGGTCCATCCCATAATCGGCCTTTTCCACCGTCAAAATCCGAATTGATCTCAATATCTGACTTTCTTTCCGTTCTTATTTCGAAGAAAAAGACACATACATTCTCTTACTATTTCATTTTTTTTCTAAGGTCTCTTCTGGGTCTCTCATCCAGACCCGCTCCAACTTTCTCCAAACTAGTCCGAATAGCTCCCGCAACTAAGAGCAAAGTTCCCATCTCCCTTAACATTTTCCCGCCCGATCCATCAAGGTTCCAAAACGACGAGACACCAGTGCCACAATCTGGTTCCTGCGAACTAGACGAGAAGAGACGGCGTTGACTGGTTACTACTATTATTATTACTGCTTTCACCTATCTGGTGTTAGTTGAGGCGGGAAAAGCAGAAGGGCTTGCAGTTAACTGACGGGCTGGCTTACTTTTTACTACTACGACTACTACTTT